GGCACCGACATACTCGTTCAAAATTCAGAAAGCACCAATGTACAGGTTCAAAAGCAACTAAAGTGCCGACGTACAGGCAAAGCAAAAGTTAAAGATCGACAAGCGTGGGTCTTCGGTAATTTTCCTCTGAATATTATCGCAACAAATAAGGATAGCTTCAGGCGAGGATATCTTCGACAGCGTTCCCTAGCTTGCGAAAGTGGTCACAAACAACTAGAGGTGATTTCAAGCGAAGTTATCTTCAATCGTGTTCCCTGGCTTGCAGAAGATGGTCACAAAGTAGAAGGTCATTTTAGGCGAAGCAATCTTCGATGGGGTTCTCTAGCTTGCAGAAGTCTATCACGGTGGAATTGGAGGCGGTTACAGGCGTAGCAGTCTTCAGGCGGTATTCTCTAGCTTGAAGAAGATCGTCTAAACAAATAGCATGATGGCGTTCCCTGGCTTTTTGAGGGTTATCACAACAACATCAAATGCAGCAACAAATCGGTTACCCTCAGAGACGTGTGCTTGACGGTGCAAGATACGCGTTCTAAACACTCTTATATGTTTAACTAATCCAAATTTAAACAAAACTAAGTAAACGCGTGAAATTAATTACTAGCGCTTGACGACAGGGATTAGCGTCTAACGCTAATCCTTGGCGCCTGGCGCTAAACCTTTTTTATTATCTTTTAAACTATGATTTGTTTTTCTATCCATCCAGCTGATTTTCTCTATAAATAGCCTCCTAAAACCTCCGTTTTCAATCATCAACAACAATGATTTTTCTTATTCTCTCTAGTTTTCATGATTTATGCTCTCTCTCTAGCTTTCTCATACAGAATTCCGCATTCACAAGATTTAGAAACACCTAGCCAAGTTCGAAGTCGCCTTCGCCCTGGACGTGAAAGGTTTTTTTTATGAGGGTTTGGTCCCAAATCTTTATTTCAATTATTTAATTATTTATTTTATTATTTTCCTTGAAGTTACTAACGCGTGTATTTTGTTATTAGAAAGAGGCACGAGGAGTCCAAGTAAGTGTTTTAATTGATTTATTGATATTATGATATAGAAATCATGTCTAGATTATTATGTTGTTTCCTAGTGTCATGTTAGGGCGTTTTGATCTTCCTAGTATCATGTTTAGGGTAACAACTATAATTTCTAATATCAAATATGACAATTGTTGATTTTTGCGATGCCTTTTATTTCTTTCCGAATAGCATGTTAGTATCATGTTAGGGTTAAAGCTTTGATTGTTGTATGTTTAGTGACATGCTAGGATTTGTTATTAATCTTTTTATTATCATACCAAGGAGTTTGCTATTATTATGCTTTAACATGATTATTATTATGATAATTATTATTATTTTGATTATGGTTATTGTTATGATTATTATTATGTTGCTTGATTATATTTATTGTTATTGCTTGATCAAGCCTTTTATGCATGTTTAAAGGGAATCAGTACTTGTAATCACGCTTAATAAGATAATTAATAATCTTGTTTAGGGTTAATTTTATTATAATCCAAGTGATCGCCAAGAATAGTTTTATTTGTGCATTAATATTCAATTAACATAGATTAAATAGGTTTAAGGTTAAACCTATTGATTGCATGTTAGTTAGAAAGCGCACATGAATACGATCAGAATAAAGTAGAGGCCTATTATTAAGGCAGGTTCAATCTCTTTTAGGTTGGATTTATACCTTCATCCCCGAACTACCAGTCTTGGTTCGAGACCTATTGGAGTTGACGATTTCCGGGATCGTTAAGGGGTGTAACCTTCACCTCGTGAACAGTTTAAAAATTCCTAAAACTTGTTGGTGACTCTTTTTCTCTATCTTCTTTCCCTTTGGACGCCACCGTACTTTAGTGTATGATCACAATGGGGTTCAATCTAGGGATAATTATTGAAATATTCCCTACACACCGACATACTGGTTCACAAACAACATGAGCACCGACATACTGGTTCACAACATCAAAAAGGCTGACGCACTAGCATAGCAAAAGCAAAGTTCAAGTGAACTTTATAGGATCGAAAGGCGTTGGTCTTTGGTGATACTCATCAGAGTATTATCGCAACAAATGAGGATGGCTTCAGGCAAAGAAATCTTCGATCATGTTCCCTAGCTTGCTGAAGATGGTCACAAAGCGCTAGAAGATTGTTAAAGGTGAAGCAATCTTCGATAAGGTTCTCTAGCTTATAGAAGACCATCACAGCAGAATTGGAGGCAGTTACAAGCGTAGCAGTTTTCAGGCGGTATCCCCTAGCTTGAGGAAAATCATCAAACAAAAAGAAGCACTTTGTCCAGAGATGCATGGACATATCATCGAAGCTCTTTGCTCATGGACGCGTGGGCATATCATCGAAGCTCTTTGTGTTAGAGACGCGTGGACATATCAAAAAAAGCTCTATTGTTCAGAGATGAATGAACATCAAAGAAGCAAGATGGAGTTACCTAGCTTGTGGAAGGTTGTCCGAACAACAAATGCAACAAATAGGTTACCCCAGAGACGTGTGCTTGACGGTGCAAGATACGTGTTTCTTAACTCTCTTATCTACTTTAAATTAATGCTAGTTTTCAAGTATCAGTGTTATAAGAATGAGTTAGGACCGCAGAACGTTCTGAATCATTCTCCATCCCTATCGATACTTTGACTTTTGTTTTCGAAACATGCATTTCTCCAAACTCAGTAAAAGTGGGGGCTTCTGTAGACACCCATTTGTATATCCCCAAAACAAAACCCAGTGATGAGTACCTTTCACGTCGAAGCATAATCAAATGAAGTGAAAGTGTGGAAAGTCTATTGTTGCGGTTAGTTTTTTATTCTCTTCTTTCTCTTTGTTATTGAAAACCTATTTTATGAAAATAGCCAATTTAGTTAGGTTTTGTCCATGGAAAGGATCCAATAATAGTGTAGTTGGATAGGGCTTAAAGATAGCTTTCCAACGATATATTATAAGCCCAATTCCAATGAATAATGAGGAAGTTATGGCTAAATTACTTAACTGGGCCTGATTTGATTTATATATGCGACCCAATGATCTAGAGGAGGGCCTATTATGATTTATCATTCCTAATGCAATTAGGATTGATTATTGTCTTCTGGAATATTTTGGAAGGTTCTTTTGAATCCTAATGTGATTAGCATTTATAATTCAGTTTTAAGAGTTTTATTTAGAATAAAAGAAGTGTTTATACAGTTTTATCCCTCGTACGCTTAAATTTTATTAAAATAAGAAAATGTGTGAAAAAATTGTATGCATCGCCGCACGACAGGCGGTCGCTTGGCGACAGGCGTGTCGCTGCGGCGACACGTTTGTCGCCGAGTGACAGAGGCTTGTGTGGCGACACCGTCGTGTTTAATTCTTTTCGAAACTCTGATTCTTTTTTATCATATTCCGGCTGATTTTGGTTATAAATAGCCTCCTAAAATATCCGTTTTTTATCACCAACTCTCATAAAAAAATTCTTGATACTTTCTCTCTCTTTTCTAAACCAACCTTTTCACAAACAAAATTCCACATTCACAAGATCTAGACACACCTACTCAAGTTCGAAGTTGCCTTCGCCCTAGACGTTAAAGAAAGAGGTACGAGGCATCCAAGTAAGTACTTTAATTGTTTTATTGATATTTTATATAGAAATCATGTTTAGGTTGTTTTTCTTAGTATCATGTTAGTTTTCTTTTCTTGGTATGATATTTAGGGTGATTTGCTTATATCAACATAAATAAACAGGTTTAGGGTAAACCTAATGATTGCATGTTAGGCAAAAAGCGCACATGAATATAAGAAAAATAAAGTAGAGGCCTATTATTAGGGCAGGTTCTTTCTATTTTAGATTGGATTTGTACCTTCATCCCCGAACTTCCAGTCATGGTTCTAGACCTATTGGAGTTAATGATCTCATGGATCGTTAATGGGTGTAACCTTCACCCTATGAACGGTTTACAAGTTCCAAAAACTTGTTGGCAACTATTTTGCTCCAGCTTCCTTCCCTTTGGGGCAATGCTTGAAATATTCCCTACACCCTTCTTTATGCATGCATCGTATTCATCTTAAAGATGATCATTCCATCTCCATTGAACCTCAAAGGAGGTTGAACCCCAACCTCCAAGAGGTTTTCAAGAATGAAATTTTGAAACTACGTGAGGCGGGCATCATCTATGCTATCTCCGATGGCAAGTGTGTTAGCCCGGTTCATGTGGTTCCAAAAAAAAGGTGGGATGACCATAATTAAGGGTGAAGGAGGAGAGGAAATCTCCTCCCGGATGGTGATCGGATGGAGAATATGTATTGATTATAGGAGGTTGAACAAAAACATCAAGAAAGATCATTTTCCTCTCCCATTCATGGATGAAATGCTTGAGAGACTCTCTCACCATTCTTTCTTTTGTTTCTTGGATGGGTACTCCGGATTCTTCCAAATCCCTATCCATCCAAGCGATTAAGAGAAAACTACTTTCACATGTTTATAAGGGACACTGCATACTGAAAAATGTCATTCGGCTTATGCAATTCTCCTTCTACCTTTCAAAGATGCATGACCTCCATTTTCTCCAAAATCTTTGAAAAAGAAATTTAAGTTTTCAAGGATGATTTTAGTGTTGGTGACTCGTCTTTTGACACTTGTCTTTTTAACCTTGAAAAAGTTTTGAAAAGGTTTCAACAGACGAGTTTAGTTTTAAATTGGGAAAAGTGCCACTTCATGGTCGAGGAGGGTATTGTCCTCGTCCATCACTAGTGGAGAAATAGCTATCCGTACCGGGTAAAAAAGGCCTATCCGTAACGGGCAACGGGCGTTACGTATGCCACCGTTACGAATACCCCGTTATTCGTAACGGACATTTAAAGTGCCCATTTCAAATAACCCGTTATTCGTAACGGACATTTCAAGAGCCCGTTACAAATAACGACTTATTTGTAACGGGAATTTCAAATGCCCGTTACAAATAGTGTGTACCCCAATTAAAAAAAAAATCCAGCACATGATGTGCTGGATTAGCTAGCTTGCATAAAAATTATAGCACAGTTATTTTATTAATTAATTGAGATAAAACAAAGAATTTTATATTTATACAATCACCAATAAAATTACATTTATTATAGCCTAATAACTAAAACTAAACTAGGCTCAGTAGTTCATAATAAAAGGGGAAAATAAAGCAATATGAAACAGCAATTAAAACATCAGTATGTCAACAAGGAAATTTGTGAATCCCAGGTACTAACATCTGAATGTAGATTCAACCACAAACTTTTCACCTCTCTGGTAAAATTTGGACTCCTTTTTTAATACAAAACTAAATTCATCGCTATATCCATATGAAAATATTATGTTAGCGTATTCCTCCATGACCGCATTTACGCATGAACTCATCAACTCCAAGGCTTTTTTTATCATGAGGCTTCTCAAATTTATGAACTTCAGAGAACCTTCGAATATTCCAGCCATCAATGACAACAACCATCAGAGTGGGCAGCATAATTTTGTACTTCAAAGGACTTAACATACTCATATTTGCTGTTTGCCATGGACTTTTCAGCTGTTTCTTTTGTAAAAAAAAGAAAGAAAAAAAACTAAAAAAATAGAGAAAAAGAAAATTGATCATCTCTTGTGTCTTCTTCATGTCTCCAATCCCACTTCCACCCACCATCTTTCTCCCTTTGGTATAATGATAATGTTAAAAATCCAATTTATTCAATAACATGTACAAAAAAACAAGCTCGCTAAGCTAAATTAATTACATATTTGGAGGCTTACCCATTATAAACACCAACAAAAGTAGCATTCAAATAGTTCCAACTTGACTACGATCTTCAAGAACTTCATTAACCTGGAAAAAATCAAAAGAAAATTCATCTTTATACTTTATAATACTCATGACCAGTTGATTATCAAACAGAATTGAATAGCAAAAAAATACTCGTATCCAATGATTAGTATTCATTCATGTATTCACAATCCTTTAATTTATTAGCCGTTATATTCACAACTTATTACTCTATAAAACTTTTTTCCCTAAACTTTAGCATTGATTTTGACATAGTAGAAGATAGACATAAATAGGCAAGGACCGACAATTTAAAGGGCCCATACTATCAATTAGATAAAATCAACGGTTAAGTCAGCAACAAAATCCCATCCCACCTGTAATATATTCAATATTGGTCAGATTTAATGGCTTGACTGACATAGATATGAATATTCCAAAATTCTAGCATACTCAATAATTCAAGTGCTATTTATTATTTGACACATTTGGTGTCCATATTAAATCAATGTAATTAATCTTACTATACTACGAGGAGAAAGGAGGGGGAAAGGCATAATATTATAACAAGAGGATTCACTATCAAGAAAAGTAAGAAAAAGATCCTATGATGGAAAAGTAGAAACAGGAAGTTGGTGTAAAATCATTTCTAGAACAATGATCATTGAACATTCAGCAGGTTGTAGAATGAAAAACAAACTGTATATCAACTAAAAGTGGATAAAGGGTTGTTCGGCGGATCAGGTCTGTTTATTTAATCTTGGGTTGGGCCATATTTGCGGCCATTGGCAATATTGCCTCAGGACAAATCAGGTCAATTTCGAATCTTATATCATATTATGTAAAACTCCGTATCATGTAAGGTATGGGTTTTTACCAATTATGAGTCAATTTTGATGTCTACCTACTACCACATAGCGAGTGACTCATTAAAAAGTAATGGATAAAATTAAGAAGCATTTATGAAATGCTAAATGCCTGTATCAACTAACTACAGCAAGAGATATGATAGCCAAGGCGAAAGAATTGACAAAATTGCATACTAATTGGGTAGAAAGCGGATTAAATTTACCTGTAGTCTATGCTCCTCGAACCACTAAATTAAAACAAGCAGCAATGGAAGCTGAATCAAAGCTTCTGGGACTGTAATTTCTTCCTCTCTGGGCAGTTTGGCCTATGCCTTTGACACTTCCCCATGGCTGCAGGCCTTCGTTCTGCTCGTGGTGCTTAAAACCATCCATCTGTGAAGCAGCTTTGAGACTACTAGACATACTTCCTGAATAGGATGACTTTGGAATTGAGGACGAACTTCCTTCTGTTCTTCTCCAGAATTTTGGAATCAGGAATTCTGTACTAGGACAGCAAGTGCTTCTTGCTAAGTCATTGTTGGCAATTCTTCCTCTTTGCACAACTAAATCATGTGAGATCTCATTCAATGCGCTCTCGATGCCAGATACTCTATTCTCCAAAGAGCCAATCCCACTTTGAGAATTACCCATAAATCTCTAAATATTGCAAAGCAAAAGGTTGATGTCAATTATCAATCTTCAAATTAAAATTGAAAAAACTACAATGATCTTTTTTCACTACATTCACTCATATTATTATAGCTGTTTGTTTTTTGGGTGTAAATCAACACAAAAAGATAAAAGAAGCCAGTTCTTATTAACAATGGAATAAAGAAAGAGTATGCAACTAACCTGGATGAGAAACATCATATCAGATTGTTGTCTCTCTATCTGAAGAAGCTGTTTTCTGATCAAAGACAGGTCCTCAGAGTCTGCATTGCTTTCACCGACTTCCTCATTTCCTCCTCTATCAAAGTCCAACCTCCTCGGAGAAAGGAACAATATGAGACCCAGGTTTGAAAGAATAAATCATCAAAGGAAATAAAAATGCCACAACCTCATAAATTAGTCTTCCCTCATTCATTAACAACTCATTTGAAAAGAGAAATTGCTATTCTAGGCACATTTAGTAATTTCTCTAAGTTAAATTTGAAAATAGAAATTATTGTTATGGGTACATTCAGTGAAATATAAATATCTTCCATTAGTGACCTTTATAATCTTCCTTCAATTCATCAACAGTTCATCTCAATGGGAATGAGTCAAAGTTTGAAGTGCATGTGAATATTAGCAGTAGACTATAGGAAAACTAAACGTCATTTTGCTTGAGGTCTAACCTAAGATGCATCTAGGTTAAGCTTATATTTCATTATCTTATACTCCATACATGCAAATGATTCTATCCTAAATCTAAGAATTTATTACATTATGTACATTTACTACAAGATACACTTCCTATTGGTAGCAAGGTTGTGTAAAACAAAACCTAACATTAAGAGGCCATTGTAATATACAAAAATTTCTGAGCGCATACAACCTTATCAGGTAGAAAATATCAACTAAAAATCACCAACATTCACCAATTGCAAACACTCATTAACAGAGTACTAGCCTAGCAAAGGACATGGAAGATTTATGCAAAAACAATTACAATGATAGAATGTAGAAGATTTAAACACAATATTAAGAAAATATATTCAACAGAATAGTACCGGAGCCAATTCGACTGCAGAAGAGGGGTGATTGTTAATGATGTTTATCAACTCAGCTTTAGGTAGCTGATACTCTTTAAATTTCTCTATAAGATCATTGATACTTTCTCTAGTCTAATCACAAGCAGCACTCTCAACCAAATAATCATAAACCTAATCACAAATTGTAAAAACAAACATCAACTGTAGGTATAATTGTCTCCATATCACGAAATCAAAAACACAGCATTCAGCTTACAAAAAAAGGAAACGAACAAAGCTAAAGTATCAACCTTGAAATTAGACGATTTTAACAAACCCATGGCCCGGGTAGGTTCCTTGGAAGCCCCTCTCGTATGCAATAAATCAAGTACTTCAAAATTAGTAAGAATGCCAGCATTGCAGAGGTTGCGTAAAACAAAACCTAACATGAAGAGGCCACAGCAGTATACAAAAATTTCTGAGCGCATGTAACCTTATCAGGTAGAAAACATCAACTAAAAATCACCAACATTCACCAATTGTAGATTAAAACACCAAAGAATGCAGAAAGAAAGAACCTTGCATAGAGAATCAACAACCAATACCCAAATTCTCTCTTCAATAAACAGATTAACAGAGATTATATACCAACAACCCATAAATTACCACTAAAAATGAACGAATTAGGGATAAATTGATCGATTTCGGGAAAGAACTCGAAGAACCCTAGAATTAATCAACTTGCCATATCAGGTTTCTTAATTCTCTCTATAAACAAAAAAAAATTACAAAAAAAAATTCGGCAATCAGGTATTAATCGACAAAGATGAACTAAAATCATTACTATTTGCATGTATTACTCGTTTCAACTGAAGAACATATATTTTTTTTAGATTTATTATTCGTTTAGACGTACAAAGGATAATCGAACCATATAAATGCCAAAAATGCATCAAATGCATCAAATGCAAAATGCATGCAGAAAAAAACAAAGCAAATTAGAATTCACAAGAACAAATTCAAGAATTTAAACAATTAGATGCCCAGAAATCAATTCAAGAAAGGAAAAAACAATTGAAGGATTTCTTACCTCACGATCTAAAATGGTTGTAGTTTTCGGCAAAGATATCCTAAATTATCTAAGAATTGTTCATCAGTGGTTAGGTTTAGAGATCTTCACTTGTTGTTAAGGGGAAGATTGATGGAGGAGAGGAGAGAGGGCCTGAGTTTGAAATGAGAGAAAGAGGTGAATGACGGGGAGGAGAGGAGGAGAGAAAGAGGCAGTGAGGGACTGATGAGAGAGAGAGGTGAATGACGGCTATGAAACCCTAAAAAGCCAAGTATTGGGCTCCTCTCATCAGTTGGGCCAAGTTTGGGCATTTGTATCGGGCACAATACGCCTGTTCCGTGTAATATAGTATTCACAATGGGCAAAATAGTGTCCGTTACGAATACTTATTTATTCGTAACGGGCACTGAATTATCCGTTACGAATACTTATTTAATCGTAACGGGCACTGATTTGTCCGCTATCGTAAGTTCGTAACGGACATTATTTTGCCTGTTACGAATAAATAAGTATTCGTAACGGACACTATTTTGCCCGTTACAAATAGCCTGTTACGAATGAGATTTTTTCCACTAGTGCATAATGTTTCAAAAAATGGCATTGAAGTTGATCCGGCTAAAGTTTCGTTGATTGAGAAATTGCCCCCTCCTATTTCTTTCACGCGAGTACGAGCTTTTCTTTGGCATGCCGGTTTCAACCAGAGTTTATCAAAGATTTTTCGTCAATCACCAAACCTTTGACTGAATTACTCGAAAAGGATATTGCTTTTAAGTTCAATGAGGCTTGCCTTGAGGCATTTCATAAGCTCAAGGAAGCTCTCATCTCGTGTCCCGTTGTGCAAGCTACAGATTGGAGCTTGCCTTTTGAGCTAATGTGCGATGCGAGTGATTTTGCGGTGGATGATGTGTTTGGGAAAATGAAAGAAGGAAAATCATGTGTCATCTACTCTGCAAGTAGGACTCTTGATGAAGCTCAAAAGAACTATACAACAACGAAGAAGGAAACGCTAGCAGTTGTGTTTGCCTTTGATATGTTTAGGTCCTATCTTATTTTCTATATGGTGCTTGTGTACATGGATCATATTGTGGTGCGATATCTCATGACTAAGAAGGAAGCAAAGCCTCGCCTTATCCATTGGGTTCTCTCTCTTTAAGATTTTCACATGGAATTGAGGGACAAAAAGGGAGCGGAGAGTTATGTTGAGGATCATTTGTCTAGGCTACCTTTTGAGAACAAAAGTGATGTTTCAATCAATGATGAGACAGGATTTGAAACTCTCATGGCTATGGCTTCAACATCTAGCCCTTGGTATGCATTCATAGCTAATTATGTTGTTCATGGAATCATTCCCCCGGAGTTTTTTTCTCAACAAAAGAAGAGGTTTTTCTAGGAAGTGAGGAGGTACTTTTGGAATGACCCGTACTCGTTCAAACAATGTGGAGATGGCCTTTTTCAAAAATGTGTTTCTAGATCATGAAATCAAAGTAGTTCTTAAGCATTGTCATTCACTACCATGTGGAGGACATGGAGGTGTTGATAAGACGGTGGCAAAAATTTCTAAATCTTTATTGTGGTGACCAATGATGCATAAGGATGCTCAAAAGTTTGTTTCACAATGTGGTAGGTGTAAAAGTAGTGGTGGCATAACTAAAAGGGATGAAATGCCTCAACAAAGTGTCTTGGAAGTTGAGCCCTTCGATGTTTAGGGGGTGGACTTTATGGGGCCTTTCGTTTCTTCTTGTGGAAGTCTATATATCTTGGTAGCGGTTGATTATATGACAAAATGGATTTAAGCCATACCCTCTCCTACCAATGATCAAAGGGTTGTGCTTAAGCTTTTAAAGAAGATCATCTTTCCTAGATTTAGGGTTCCAAGGGTCTTAATTAGTTATGGAGGCTCCCATTTCGCCAAAACGCAATTTGAAGCTCTTCTCAAGAGATATAGCATTCATCACAAGGTTGGATTACCTTACCACCATCAAACTCAAGAACAAGTGGAGGTCTCGAATCATGAAATCAAGAATCTACTTGAAAGGATGGTGAAAAAATCAAGGAAAGATTAGTCTCTCAAGCTCTATGACACACTATGGGCTGTTAGGACGACATATAAGACTCCAATAAGCACGACTCTTTATGGGTTAGTCTACGGGAAGGCTTGTAACTTGACGGTTGAGTTAGAATACAAGGCTTGGTAGGCCATCAAGGAAATCAAAATGGATTTTTCTTTGGCCGGTGAGAAGAGACTGCTTTAATTAGCTCAATGAACTTGAAGAGCTTAGAAATGATGCTTATGAGAGCTCAAGATTGTATAAGGAGAAGACCAAAAAGTGGCATGACCAACATAAATGAAACAAGAGTTTTAAGGTTGGAGATAAGGTTTTTCTTTTCAACTCAATGCTTCGCTTGTTTCCGGGTAAACTCAAGTCCAAGTGGTCGGGTCTTTATGGTCAATGGTCATCGTTTGAAGCACTACTTTTGCAAGGAAGAAGTTGGTCAATGGTCAACCTCTATCATAAAAAATCCGAAAATTCTCGAAGCTCCACCATTATTACTCCTTGAAGCACCATTGGATTTCTTGTTCTTTGAGGCTAGTTGGAGTTGATTCTTGGCTTCATAGTTGGTATAATCTACTCCCTTCTAGATTATTGAATTTTTAAGAAATTGTTGGATGTTTTTCATGGTTAATTCTTTTTATTTTTGTTTGGTGATTTTTCATGCTTGATTTGATGAATTTTGTTCTTAGTTTTGCTCTAACTTTTGGTTAATTGTTGTTGTGAAGTTATTTATTGAAAATTCTTGTGGTGTTCTTGGTTAATTTGTGTTGTTTGGAATTTGAGGAATATATTGCTTGTTGTGGTTGCTTTGTGTAATTTGTGGGTGGATTTGTTGAACTTGATTGAGGAGTTGCAAGTGTTGTTTGTTGAGAAGTAAAGATGGAGGTTGGAAGAAGTTCTAAGAAGAGGAAGATTGGAAAGGAGCAACGAGGTTCATCCTCCCAACCCCCTCAAAATGTGGAACCACCACCAGCTTTGCCTCCAACCAAATTCTCAAACAGAAACTACAAAACAAAATTCGATGCCCTTTAATCAAGAAAAATCATCCCCACTAAACACTACCATCAACCCACAACAACCAAGCTAGGCATAGATGAAGATTGTTGGTTCTTTTTCAACAATCTAAGGCTAAACACTTTTGTCTCCAAGGCCTACAATACGTACCGGGAACCTACCTTGGAGTTTCATGCTTCATTTGAAAAGCACACTTCCGGAAATAACGATATCTCCGTTTCTTTCCAACTTTTCAACTAAAAAGAAACCATGTCCCTTCACAAATTCAATGAATATCTCGGCCTTAACCCCAATGCTGACATTCTCCTCCCAGAATATGTGGAACGTCCAGACTACAACCCCCGACTATGGTGGTAACGGATCTCTAGGAAAAAAAACTTCGATGCTAAGTACTCCATGGCAAGTGAGATCATGCACCTGGCCCTTAGATTACTCCACAGTATTCTTGGGTACATGGTTTTCAACATTCAAGATTTGGGGAAGATAACACTAGAAGTGATCTGAATTCTTTTGCTTGCAACTGAGCCAGATCTTGTGTGTAGAGTAAACTTGGGATATATCTTCATCCAATGCATCAAATCCATCATGTCGGGGATCAAGACAGGAGAGATCCATTGTGGGGCTACGGTCACTCGGTTGGTTATAAGGTGTGGACATGCGGAGAAGTTGTGCTCATGCACCATTGTTGGGAACGGTGACGGGAGTGATATATTGTTTAATGAGTGGCAACATAAAACAATGCAATTCATCAAAGGGATCCCCAGGGTCGACGGGATTTGGCGTCTCCTTGTATCCCGCGAGCATCATTGCTTCCTCCCAAAGCCGGAGTTCACCTCCCACACAAGGGAGGGAGATCACCCTAGGTGGGTGCGAAGGGACTCAGGTATCCTTCTCGATAACATTGTGGTGAATTTGGATGAGGTGCATGAGGAGGATAAGGATATTGGGATGGAAGGAGAAGAAGAGGATGAAGTGGAAGAACAACAACAACAACAACATGGAAGAAGAAGACGTCAACAACAACAACAACAACCCGATTTTCAACAAGACATAGCAAGCATGAGAGCTCAAATGGAGAGCATGCAACTTTTCATGCAAGGTATGTTTGCATCTTACCAACATAATGCTTTTCAAACTAACGCTCTTTATGATTTGAGTGTACGTCGGGGAGAGGTCACTCCTCCGGTCCACTACCCTTATAAATCGGCCCAACAAGGGCTCGTGCCTTTATGGGGTGGTGACAACCTCCCTACGTACCCCTATTGTTCGGGTGTCGAGAACCCCGACGTTCCTAGGCGTGAGTTTCCTAACGAGTTCGGTCACTATGATTACCAGGTCTCGGGTGGGAGTGACTATAAGGGTGACCCAAACTACCCCTACGTTCACCCTGATCACCCCGCTCCTTGTATGTAACCCGAGCCCTTTAACCAGTTAACCCCTTCCCAACTTGACCTTTACAAAGGTCATAATGGGTGGCCCCCCAGTTACACCAGAGGGTGAGAGCCCTATGGCTCCCCTTAGGATTACGATGATGCAGCCCTAGTGGCAACTAGTTCCCCCCTTGGTTTGCATGTTTCCTCCCCCCCCCCCTTTTTGGTCTCTCCCTTATGTTTTTATTTGCATGTGAAGCATCAAGGACAATGCTCTTATCTAGTGTGAGGGGGTGTTTGAATCAAAAGGGAGTAGTTTTGAGTTAGTGTAGGGGAAGGAACCAAGGACTCGTGGGAACTTTTCAGAAGCTTATGTTGGGTATTGTTGTTATACGTCGGGTTGGTTAGCTTTTGGACTGTTTTAAGCTTGTTCTTGTTGGTCAGTGTCTTTGATGATGATGAGATGATGATAATGATGATGTCTTTTATTATGATGTAGGTTGTCGGTTATGTCCATGGACTAAGTTTGTTAGCTTTTTATTTTATTTTCCCGTTTTGCTTACCCTTTTTCTTTGTTTAGTGTTGATGAGTGGCATTTATGCCACGATTAAGGTTCACTTTGATGGTCATTTTCCCACATTTGCGGCTTGTTTGCATCTTTTTCTTTGCACTTAGTTCCATTTCCCTTTATGCATCTTTTTTCCTAGATTTTGCCCTTTTTCTACACTTTACTTTGATTTCCATGCTTATTCTTTGTAGGAACCGGGGTCTTCAAGAGGAGGAAGCTAAAGTTGAAGGAAAGCTGACGATAACCCC